GCGGGGGGGGGGGGAAGAGCGTTTCGTTTTCCGTTATATGAGTTTTTTTTTTTTTTTTGGGGTCACGTTTTGGAGGGGGGCGACCACCCGGGTCCTTTTTTCGACAGGTTTTTTCAGTGTCCAAACACGGGTTTTTTTGTCCCGCGATGGACCTAGCCATCACCCCCACCCCTAACAGGGGACCTAGACATTGTCGTTCTCCACCGACCACCAGGGGGGTTTTTCCATTTTTTTCTCCCAGTCTCGACCAGCGATCGATCTTGGGGGTACCAGTAAGTTCCGCCCGGCCCGTGCTCCTTTCCTTCCATCAGTGCGGTGATATATATTTAGGTTTGGTTGGAATTCTTGGGGGTTTCGGGGGCACCGAGTTCCGCCCCCGCGGTTTTCCTCCGTTTTTCCGTTCGCCCCTTTTTAGGGCAGGATGCCTTCCCCCGCCCTGTGGATAGGGATAGGTAGGGCCCCCCCAACAGGTACCCGAGACCAATTCTTACCTTTCCTTGACCCATCTCAGGCCCCCACCCCCCCCCCACCCCCGGTTTCCTTGGGAGGATGGCGTCCCCTACGTACCATATCATCACCATACCGTCCCATTACCGTACCGCGCGCGATCGACCGTCCGACCCACCCGACCCCGTTCGACCCGTGACCCAATCCTACCTCGGCCGAACCCACCCCTTCCGTGCCTTTGCCCACCTCTGCCCCCCCCACCCCTATTTCCTGGGGGCATGGCGTCCCTTCCGCACCATGCCACACCGTTCCATTGCCGTACCGCGCGCCTCGGCCGTCTGAGCCGCGAGCGTTCCAATACCGCACCACCCCACTCCTATCCGGTCCTTTCCTCTGGTTGCGTTCTATCCTGCTTGTGTGGTCGTGGTACTTTTGTTGTTGCGCTCTGTTTCTTTCGTGGTGAGTGCTTGGTTTGCATAGCATGACCTTTCGTGAAGCGCACGCACACGCCGCACGCCTTTCGTCTACGGATTCGATTGTGTGTGTGTGTGTGTGTGTGTGTTTGTGTGTGTGTTTTTTCCCAAGTTGGCAAGTCATAGTTTTTTCGAAGCGTCTCATCCATGCATTTGTATACCGACGTCCCACCGCCTGCGATGCCCGCCGCCTTCGAACCTTCATATGTAAAACCTCAACCTACGAATCTGAATGGATTTTAACAACTCGGCGCGGAAACGGAAATAAATTCGCAACGGAAACGGAAACTGATACGGAACGGAAACGGAACAACTTGTGGGATGACGGAATCTTGGGCGGAACATGAACCAAAAACAAAAAAAATGGACGGGAACAGCAAGAAACCCTCCAGCCGTTGTTGTCCACCGATCCCCCCACGGGCGATGTGGTCGGGGTGACTCTGGCTCCTACGGTGAGACAGGAGGGAGCAAGAAACACGAATGAACATAAAACATGGCTATCAGTACCATCCCCCCCCCCCCCCCCGTTTTGGGGGAGCGTTTTTCTCCCGAAATTTTGGTTTTCGAAAAGGACGGAAGAAGTTGGTTGTGTTTTTAAAGGGTGGGTTTTCGGGTCTGTTACCCACGCAAAAGGG